TTAGTTTGAAACATGTTTATTGTGAGTTCAAAAGTCATCACCTAAACAGGACTTCAAATGTTCAGAGCTACTTACTGGCCACAACAAGTCTGAAGGAAGCCATCTTGGTACCAGCCATATTCTCTGCCACGCAGGTGTAATCTCCAGAGTCATCCATAGCTCTGGCAGCCTCTATGATGAGTCGTGTCTCATCCACTCTTACTGGCCCACTATCAGAAACAGTGTGGCCACGCGGGTCAAGCCACCAGACTCGTACTCGGGGGTTACCAGCTACTGGTATGCATGTCAGTTCAAACTCTGCCTTCTCTGGAACAATGCGGGTCCTGCTCTCTGGCAGAGGTGGCTCAAATGAACTGCCTGTTAGTTCATCTAGATCTTGGGAAAACAACAATGCAGTTGTCAGTCCTATGGGTCCCATTGCTGGTAAGGGTTCTTTTCATTCATACTTTCACTCAAGCCAAGTTTTACAACAGATCTCTCTCTCAAACTCTACTGAACATACTGCAACATGAGCACTGAAGATTTTAACCAATTCAACCATACAGACCAAATATCAGTTTATAGGAAATACGTTTCTGCATGGTGACTAACTTATGGAGATATCACACTCCTTGATGTGAATATGCTAAGAAATATTTAATGAGCAAGTCTCTTATTTTATGATGTATGCAACAGAACTCAATGGTGTTGGCTGGTTTATACTTTGATTTGACACTGTATATGCACATCCAAAAGAGTACTGTACAACTCACAAGCAATATTCAGTTCTGCGGTATAGGTCTGAGGCACTTGGTTTGAGTCCCCTGGAATTCCCACACATGAATAAAAGCCTTCATCTGAAGCTTTCACATTGTGGATCAGTAGGGAGCCATTAGGAAACAAAGTCATCCTGAAACAGTAAGTACAGGCATAAACTTGAGTCTGACCTTCCTGAATGGTGGAGCATGGGTTCATATCAGAACAGGGAAAAGCTGAGAAACCCAAGTTTCTATGACACTACTTGAAATAAATGTTCACTCTGGTCCCTCTCAAGAATGAAGGGATTAGGGCTTATTTAGCAGGAAAGAAGAAATCTTAATTTGGGGAAATGAAGACCATGAGCCAGTGTTCTTTATCCACCGTTATTCCAACAAATATATCACAAGACTCATTGCCTTATTTTAATTTCTTATACTTCCAATACAAAAAATTGAATTTGGGTTTGAGTGCTGTTCAATACAACAGTAGATTTTCTCATCACTTCCAGAACACCTATGGGACCTACCCACCTCATGCTTATTGGATTGCTGGGGGACGTCATCCTCGGTGGCTAGCTTCAGCAGGGGGACAATGATCCTATGAAGATTGTATTGTTCGTAGTCTTGTGTATCATTTTGTATATTTTTAAGAGCTGTTGACTTGTAGTGTTTTAGATGGCTTAAACT